ATCATGCTTTTTTTGTGCGCTGGAAATAACTTATAAGAAAAACCAGAAAGATTTGTCTGGCATGGCTCAGTGGTTGAGCATTGACATATGAACCAGGTGGTCATAGTTCAATTCCCTGTTAGGGCATATATCCAGGTTTCTGGCTCGATCCTGAGTGTGGAGCATGCAAGAGGCACCCAATTAGTGATTCTCTCTCATCATTGATGTTTCTATCTCTCTCCCCCTCTTCCTTCCTCTCTGAAATCAATAAAAATATATTTAAAAAATAAATTTAAAAAGACAGACAGAAAGATCTACACATACATACATACACACACACACACACACATACATACACACACACACACAGAGACACACACACACAGCAATGGAGTGACCTGCTGGAATCAGAGTAACCTGAGCCAAGGCACAGAGGCTGGAAGCCCAGTGGCTGTGCACATCTTACCTACTGTCTCCCAGGTTAGCTGTGTGTCCTGAGCAATTCACAATGGTAACTGGCACAGTCCCAGGCCCATGGTGAGTGCTCAGTGCATGTGTGTGATGGTTCCAGTTTTTGGAACATTTCTGAACATTTTAGCCTAGTGTACAAATTTCAGAGGCTAGCTTTAAATTTGGGAAGATGAGGCTGTTTCCTCTGAGTGGCCCCACTGGCAGATGTCTGGAGTCACAAGGTGGAGGATGGTCTGCTTTCTTAAAAAAGTGAGTTCTGCAGGCACAGCTCTCTGGCAACGGGGCTGAGGCCTCTTTGCCTCTCCCCCAAGGCAAAGGGGCCTGCAGGACTGTGGTCAGCGCGGTGTGCAGAGTTCATGCCTGAAAGGACCGGGTGCAGTTCACCTTTGCTCCCATGGGCTCACCGGCTCCTTGAGGTGTCTTCAGTGAGTGAGACTTGTTTCTGTCAGCCTGACTGAGCAGAAACTGCCTGGGGTGATGGAGAAAACTGAAACGGGGAGTATCCTTTGTTGGGAAGTCTCTACTCTCAGCAGCCACTTTTGGAAAACAGTGAAGTCAGATTGCATCTGTTGTGCATCTTGTAGAAAGAGAAACTATGTGTGGTACTGAACATACTACCTTTGATGAGGGTTTTTTGGATTCTGGAAGGAAATGTGTTGTGACATAGTCATGCGGGGAATCCTGAAAATTTGGTTCTTATAGATAAGATGTTATGTATAGTATGAGGAAAAGTCGGTTGCTGGAAAACAGCTTAGTACTGTGTTGGTGGGATAATAAGATCTAAGGTCTGGGAAGGAGCTTTATGGTTATCTGAGTTAAACCTCTGTGTTGATGATGGAATTGGGGCTTGACAAAGAACCTCTTCTTGACCAAACTCTAGTCAGGATCCTCTGAGCTCTTTTCAAACAGACCCTGTCCTTGGGTATGTCCTCACGAGCCCAATTTTAGCAAGATTCTTACTAAGTCAGTTTAGCCAGAATCTCCTGAGATTTGGGGACCCTCCATATCTCTTCATGCTCAATATCTGACCAAGTTTCTCAACCTCCACCATGCCCTAGGTGATGTCTGATCACCCCTGGCTTCTCTTCAGCAGGCATCCTGTCAGGTCAGTTTAGTAAACAGTTACCCCCCCCCCCTCAGTCAGGTTCATTTGCTGACCCTGCCCTTCTCTTTGGTTGTAAGTTCCTGATTTCCTTGTTGTATTTGGAGTTGGACAGAATCTCTCTCTCCTACTGCAAACCCCATTGCAGTAGTCCCTATACCTACTGTGATAGTCCTGAATGAAATGTGTCTTACCATTTCAACAGTGTCAGAATAATTATTTTCTTTCATAGGCTAAGAGAATTGGCTTGTCCAGAGTACCACCTTGAGTACATTTCAGAACCACTTCTAGATTCTAGATTTCCAGACTTGGTTTCAATGTTCTTTCCCCCACCATGATGTCTTTATGTCTTCAGAAGTATAAAATCGAGAAGCATTTCATGTTTTATTTGGATTAATAAAGTATGCTTCTATACTGAAAGCCTCTAGAACAGTGATGGCGAACCTTTTGAGCTCGGCGTGTCAGCATTTTGAAAAACCCTAAATTAACTCTGGTGCCGTGTCACATATAGACATTTTTTGATATTTGCAACCATAGTAAAACAAAGACTTATATTTTTGATATTTATTTTATATATTGAAATGCCATTTAACAAAGAAAAATCAAGCAAAAAATGAGTTCGCGTGTCACCTCTGACACACGTGTCATAGGTTCGCCATCACTGCTCTAGAAATTGTGGGTCTGTCTCCTCCCCTACCTGTGTAGGATGGGAGCTCAGGGTGATTGGTCATTTAACCTTAAAGTTGGTCTGAGTGAACTATAAAGACCCTTCCCTGGTACCAGGCTCCACTAGACATCACAGTCTAGGCCAGTTGTGTAGCATCCAAAGGGCCAGGTGTGTTTTCTAGGTGTGGCTGTGTGTTGAGTTGTTCCTAGACATTAGCATTTGGTCAATGAGGTTTGGAAAAGCTCATTCATTCATTCATTCATTTATTTATATTTGCAAATAAAGACAGAGAAAAACAACACAAAATCAGTATACTCATCATTTACTTTATACTGGGCATGGTGCAAGACATTTGGGCTCTTAGAAGAAACTTCTATTGCCCTTAGGGAGTTGGAGTCAAGAAAGAGGTCCCAGGATAAAATTGGTATGACCAAAATAGTAGGATAAAGGCTAAAATTGAAATATGTACAAGTTGGTCTGAAAACACAAAGGAAATTGTGATTAACTTGCTGGAAGGAGGGTAATATTGGAGTTGAGTGTTGAAGGTTGGAGAGAAATTTACCAAGTAGGAGAAAAATGGCATGCGTAGTTTTGCAAAGGGAATGATGTGTGCAGAAATGGAGAAGAATAAAAATGCAAGATATTCAGGAAAGTTTAATAAGGATGGAGAGAAAGGGGCAGAGAAGAAAGTGGCTGGAAATAAGTCTAGTAAGGGAAGTTGCAGCCAGATTTTACAAGACTAAGCTTGGAAGATACAACTTCATAGTAGGCAGGCAGTAAGTACTTACTGGCGGGGAGTGAGGTGAACAGATTGGGTGGTTGAAATACAACCTGATGACACTATAGAGGATGGTGGGAGGGGGAGAAGTTTGTAAGAAGGGCTTCCAGTTGGAAGACTGTGGCAAAATGATGATACTTGAGCCACAGCATTGGCACGAGGATGAAAAGACCAGGGGTCTAGGTTATTTAGGAGATAGAATCATTAAGACTTGGAGACTGAGCTGGGTTCGAGAGATAAAGGCAAATAGAAAGATTGAGAGTTCTTCCCAGTGCCTAAGGTAGCCCGGAGACAGAAGATAAGAAGTGAGTTTTTTGGGGGGCTGATTATTAAAGTTAGAAGAACCAATGACTATATGGAGCCAGTAGCCCAGGGAAAGATTTGAGATATTGGTGTTTATTTATTCAGTAAACATGCTGAGTGTGCATGATGTATAAGGCCTGGTTCTGGAAAGGAGAAGTGCATGTCCTTTAAAAAACTTTTTCAATTTTTAACATTTTATTATGCTTTACACCCTTTAGTAAGTTTCCCAGAGAGCTGCAGATCTGGGAATGAAACAGATTTTGCTATGCCCAAAGTTCACCTTCTTTCCTCTTGCCACAGTGTTCTCTGAAGTTCCTTGTCCCTGAGGAGCTTACACTGTGCTTAGGGAAGCAGAGCATAAAGAAACTAATCATGGCAATATTGGAGAGTGGAAAAGAGGCATGCGGAGTGCCATGGGGGCCTACTGGATGGGGCTTTAGCTCTGGAGCAGAGGAGAGATGAGTGGCCATTGGAAAGAGGGCTAGTGAAGCCTTCGCAGAGGCGAGGGTGGGTATGCAAGCTGGGTCTAGGGCCATGGAATTGGGCAGGTGGAGGAGGGTGGGGATAATTCTTAAAGATCATCACCATTTGGCTACTAAGTTTATAAAGCTAATCAGTGGTCCAGGGCAAGAGCAGATTCGAGTTAGAAGGTGAGCAAAGGCTCAAGGAAAAGGCCAGGGCAGGTAGTAACTAGGTGGATCAGCACACAGCCAGAGGCAGAAACTGAGATCGGAGGCAGAATGAAGGCTCCCATGAGGTCCGTTGACCAGAGAGACAACAAACTGGCCTCCATGACTCAAGTGGAGGAAGTTTTGTGGTTCTGGCCCAGGAAGGCGATGGCTGAAGAGGGAGTGAGAACCTCATGATACTGGTGGTTTGAAAGGAGGAGGCATGTGTGGAGGAAGGGTGGGGAAGGAGGTGAAAGGTGGCAGGTAGGTTGGCTACTTGAATCTTTTTGGCACCTGCTGTCTGTCCTCCACCTTGGAAAGGTGAGCTGGATGGGAGGGAGCCTAGGAGTTGGCCTGCCTTTGTTCTCTGCTCTGATATAAGGTCAGAGCCCTTCAGGTTAGGCCCAGAGGAGGAGCAGGTAGCCAGCAGGATAACTGGGATGATGAACTATTGGCAAGCAGATCAGCATTGCTGGCATTTCACCTTGACACACCGTTGCTCCTACATGAAGCATCAAAGTCTCTGCCTGGTGTGGCCTGGTCTGGCTCTGGGCCCACAAGCTCTTGGGTAGGGCACATTCTGCCTCTTCAAGGGTCCCCTTGCTTCAAGCTCAGTGGAGGGGGTGTGAAGTTGGTTGCACCCAGTGACTTCGGGTGACAGTCTGGCCTCCCTCCTGGCACAGTCCCTGCTGTTGAGAACCAAGCTCCATGCAGAGAAACGGAGGCACCTGAGGGCTGAGCTCCGGGGGCAGGCCCTCTCCCCCAGTCACTCTCATGGCATATCAACACAGAGGGCAGAAAAGTAGGTCCTGAGAAGGGCCAGGAGCAAAGGCGAGCCAGCTTAGGGAGTAAGCAGACGCATTGATTAGACTAATTGCTCTTCTAAAATGAATGGGGCCTTTTATCTCAGAAAAGCACTTTGAAGCACTCATGTGATTTGGGAACAAAGGTGTCGTCCCAGGAAAGCCTGGCTCCCCATTAAACACAGTCCTCCCTCTGGTAAAACAACCTTTGCCTTTCTCTTACCTGCAGGTCCACGAATTATGGCACCACCTATGAAAAGCTGAATGACAAAGTGGGCTTGAAGACTGTCCTCAGTTACCTCTACGTCAATCCCACCAACAAAAGGAAGGTAAGAGGAGGGGTCGGTGGGTCCTGGGCACTCCCTGGGGGGCAGCAAGCCTGCCTAGGGCTATGAGTAATGAAAAAACACGAGGCATGGAATTGCTTAGACAGGGCCTGTTTTATACGCTAAGGCAGGGGTCCTCAATCTGCGGCCCGCGAGCCACATGCAAATACAAATATTGTATTTGTTTCCATTTTGTTTTTTTACTTCAAAATAAGATATGTGCAGTGTGCATAGGAATTTGATCATAGTTTTTTTTTAAACTATAGTCCGGCCCGCCAACGGTCTGAGGGACAGTGAACTGGCCCCCTGTTTAAAAAGTTTGAGGACCCCTGCGCTAAGGACATGGAAGAAGTTTGTAATTCTAACAATAGCCTTGATAGTAGCAGCAATAATAATGATAACAACAACAGTAAAACCATATGACCAGGTAAGGGGTTCCTCTGTGCCTAGGATGGTGCTCAGTGTCTTACACACCTTATCTCATGTATCTTCACAATGAATCCAGGGGGTAGAAAAGATCATTGTCCCCATTGTACAGATGAAGAAACTGAAGCTCAGAGAGATGAAGTAACTTTCTAGCTTGAAGTTAGACAGTGTTAAGTAACAGATCTAGGATTTCAGAATGGGACTGCCTGACTCCAGAGCTGAGTCCTTCTGTAGCCCCACTCTTGCCGGAATATTTTCAGAAAGGGTTTCTGCCGAGGGAAGGGTAGGCAGCTCCTGGATTTGTCATCTTGATCTGGAGCTGCTTCTGAGGCCTGGAATGTGTTATGCCCAGATCTCAAGACCCCCAAAAGACCACACCAGGGAGCCAGCCATGTTCGATGCAAAAGCAGGGGGTCCTTTATTGAGCTAGCTCAGGTCTTGTTACATAGGATGTGGTCATCTCTATGGCGCGCACGTCCCTGGATTGTCATTGGTTAGTTTAAAGAAATCCCAGGCGTGGCCAGCAGAGGCCTGGGCTTCCGGGAAGAAGGTACTTTCCTGAGCACATGTTTGCCCCAAAATGGAGGACATGGTAAGATGGAGGGCGTGGTCCTCGCCCTTTCAGAATGAACTCACAGGTGGGACTTGAGTCATGCAGACTTATTGGGAGGAGGGGGCCTGGATTCTATGGAACTAGGGGCAGCTTTAGAACGTGAATGCTGTGCAGTATATTAGCTTTGGGGAGAAGTGATCTAGCCTCAGCTAGGAAGGCACTGCTGTTTAGAAGCTTAGGCAGGCCTGGCCGCCATAAACACACCAGGAATATACTATAAAAGGCTATGTCAGTGTTTCTTAAATCCCAGAAATGACACTCCCAAGCTCTCCTCCTGCACACTGGTTTGAAGTCCCCAGTGGTTTGCAAACCCTCTCTTCAGTGAGGAAAACTCAGGGGTGAGTGCCAGCCCATTGTGCAGATGTCTCTGATCTGTGGTTCCAACTCCTGGAATCCAGGCGATGACTTAGAACTTAGAACGATGCTTGTTTATGCTGCTTAGCGCACAACAGCTTTGACTGAAATCCTTAGCGTCACACCTCTCAGCCCCACCCCTTCTCCTCACCACCACCTGGACGTCCTGCGTATCCCCAAAGGGAGGAAGCAGAATTGGTGGTTCCTGGGCCAGTGTTGGGGATGGATGCCCAAAGGCCCAGCTTGCTCCAGGGGTCCCCAGATCTGAGACTGTGCCCACCATCAAGTTCCCAAATCCTGATAATTGGGATGGCTCTTTAGGCACCTGTTACCGGATTTAGCTGAGTGGTTTCTCTTTTCTCTGTTCCAAAGCATGGCCATTTTTATTTTTTTCAGTATTGTTTGAATTACTATATGTCAGAGTTGGAAGGGATCATAGATTTCACCTATACCAGCAGTTCTCAATTGGTTTTGAATTTCAACTCTTGCAAAATTGTTTAACACTCTAGACCTCCTTTCTAGGAACAGGCCTCTACACACAAAATTTGAAACCAATTTTTAGGGGTTTGTGAATAGCTCTGGTCCCACCATGAACCAAAAATGTTCATGGAGTTTTGGTTGAGAATCTTTCATCTACACCAACAGCCTCATTTAATAGATGAAAAAAAAATGGAAGCCAAAATAGCCCCTAGAGCCAGGTAAGAAAAAGAGCCAGGTTAGAACCCAGCAGTCTCAGTCCCCAGTCCAGATTTCAGAACACACTTTGTACCTATTCTTCCTCTACAGTCACAGCCTAGAGTTTCAAAATTGATGATGTAGTTCTGACATGGAAGCTTGAGGCAACTGCTTCATGACCTTGATTTAAAACTTGGTGCCATGTCCATGGTGGACACAAGATAAAACGACTCAATGGAGTCAGCAATGACCTATTTTAATTCTTTCTCTTCCCTTCTCCCTCCATGGAGAAGGAAACAGGCCCACAGAGGACAAATGTCCCACCCAGGCCAATCAGCTGGTTATGGGTTGAGTTGGTCATTGGTCTCATAACTCCCGGTCACTTGGGGTAGGATGGCATCACAGAGGGTGTATGTATTTTGGGAGAAGCAAGAAGTGGGTATTTGACACATGGCAGATTCCTTTCAATGGTTATCTCTGACCTGTGTCTGGATCACAACAGATTTTATCATATTTCCATGCAGATGACAGATCATCTGTCTTCATGAGGATTTTCTCATGTGGTATATGAAAGGGTCACACCTGTTTTCATCCTTTTGATAGTCATCTGTTTATCTGTTTACCAGGTCTTTCCTGGTAAACTCCTGCAATGTCTCTTTTGGTCTTTGCTGTTTTTCTCTACTCCTGACTGCTTTAACTCCCCTTAGCACAGCCCAGAAATGCTTAGAAGTACAAGACATGGGGGTCAGATTAAGGCAGATGTTGAGGGTAGGGAGGAACGCAGCTGAGGTTTGGAGACCATGGGTGCAGAAATGCCACCTCCATTCTTCTTCATAGAGCGGACGTCTAGACCATGTGCACTCTGGACAGTTTCTCCCAGAAACTATTGCCCACTTAAAAGTCGGGCCTATTTTGTCTGTCTTCTCTTAGAAACACCACCAAATCTCAGTTAATTCCAATCTAAGAGGCACTACCACCTAGAAAGTTATAGCAGAGACATTTTCTTCACTCAGCCTGGAGAAAGACAAATGACAGGCTAATGCCATGGCTTTATTGTTTTAAAATGACAATAGGAATTAATTTCATAAGCAGACAGTGATCCTGAAGTGCTTTCTGAAGCACCCAAGGAAAGATGCAATTAGATGCTCTTTCATTTTATTGTTAAGTGTTTTTTATTGTATTCTGAGCCTGTAGTTACTGACGGTGCACAAATATTCTGCATGGCGACTTTCTCTTAACCAGAATATTCAGTTTGCTACAACTTCCCTTCTCTAGCTACTTGGGCAGAATGCCAGTTAGATATACAGGAAAATACTCTTATTTGTTTCTTCATTGGCCTAGTGCTGTGATTCATTATGACCTTGCAATGCAACTTTAAAAAAGTGTCTTCTCAGTTATGTCTTGATGTTTAAACCTGTGGTTATTTGGATTCTCAGCTCAGCTTGAATTAGGCAGCAGTCTTTTGATTCTCTCAGCACTGAGATTATCTGTGGCCTTCCATGTTCATCAGCCAACTAACAGTGGTACTATCCAGCAGATTTTTTCAGTAAATCTTGTGGAAACACTTGCTTTTCACCTAATGAGTTATTTATTTAACAGATGGCTATTCCTTCCCTTGGAGTCAGTGAGTATAGCAGAGATCTGTTGCTCCTGGCAAAATAGTAAATTGTGCTTGTATTTATATATTTGTTTCTGAAGCTGATTGTTGATTTTCCAACAACACGAAATCTCTAACTGCAGGCAGCTGATAAGCCCTTAGGTTAAAAGGAGAGATGCTAACATGTGTATGTCTCCTTCTATCAGTAATAATCTTAACATTAATTGAGCACCTCCTATACGAAACTTTCTTTCAGGAGCTTAATCTATACACTCTCCAATCCTCCCAGCCACTTTAGAAAGCCCACAAAATAAAGAAATAGACTCCAATAACCCTGCACAATGGGTGGGTCTTCAGGAGCCTCCCCATTGGTTTTATTTAGGGGACAAATTTGTCAAGATACATCCAGTGATGCTGGATTCCCTTAAGGACGTTGAGATTTGGATTAGTAATACCGACTAGGCTTTCTCTAAGTGACAGTAAATTGCTATAAAGTGCTGGGAACTGCTCTCGCTGGAGTTGTTCTAAACCATGCTACAATAGTTTTAGTGATTTTGACCTGCCCAGGCTGTGTTTGATGTGCATTTCTCTGACCCTCACTGTTCGCTTTTCTCCAACCACTGGCCTGTTAGCTGACCACCTGGATGATGTCTGAGCTTGGCACGTTGAACACAAGGAGCAGTTGTGCTAGTTCTAGAATTAGGTGTGTGTGAGGCCTGCCTCTGGGAGAAGGGGCTCTGCTATGGTGGGGTCTGAGCTCCTTCCCCTTGCAGGAGAGAAATGTCCCTGGGCCTCTAGAACTCATTAGTGTTAATGGACTCTTGTCCTCAGGCCCATGCAGAATGGCACATGCCATGGTCAAGCCTGCACTTAACAGAGCTGTGCTTTGTGCCAACAGGCTGAAGGCTTTGTCCCAACAGAGAGGGCCGTGGCTCCTCTGGGTGTCTATCTTAAGCCTGCACTTAACAGAGCTGTGCTTTGTGCCAACAGAGAGGGCCGTGGCTCCTCTGTGTGTCTATCTGAAAACACATCTTTGCATGGATAGGAAAATACAGGCATGTCATGGCCTAATTGCTCTGGCTCAGAAGAGACTGCCACCTGCAGATTTGCAAACAGTGTTTGGGAAATGGTAGAGAGCGTAAAAGGTCGGACTTCCAGGGAATATGACCACATGACTGCAGGGTAGAGGTGTGGGTGCTGCTGTGCATGTGGGTGGGAGGAGGACTGCGAGGTCTGATATCAGAATAGGATAATGAGTTCTTTTTCTTGCGCTCCTAATAAGTTCCAGGCACTGGGCTAAGTTCATTTCTATACTTTATTCTAGTTTCACTACTAATC